TGCATAGGATGCCTCAAATAACAGGGCACCATGTAATGAGCTAATCTAAAAGAGTCAATCAATGAGACCCACTTTCTCACAGGGAAAAAAAAGATGACCCAGAAGTCCTAGAATAGGATCATATACTACCCTTTGTTTTGCAAAGAAAAAAAACCCACAGCAAAGCAACAGCAAAGATGCCAAGGGAGCTTATGCAGAAAGGAAACTGGGTACTAGCCGCCTCCTCCCACCGAGTTATTACCTCAGTGCCAAATGCAGGACAGGAGCAGGACTCTACATGATCTAGAGGGATGTGTAGCAGGCTACGAGTCTGGGAACAGCAATCCAGTGTAGGCTGCTCATATGTGCATGGCAAGAGGAACAACTGGAATAGCACCTTATATCCCACCATGCCCGATTGCCAGTGCAGGGAGACTCCTAGCTGCGGGGGTGCTCCATACAACCCTGGGGTTGGAGAATCGTGGCAGCCACAAATCTCCCAGGTTCAGGAGTGCATGAAACCCTCAGGTCTATGGGACTGCAGCAGCTGTGAGCTCCTAGGCTCACAGGTATGTGAAACCCCACCCAGGGCTGTGGGTGGGATAAGGGCTGCCACAATTCTCCAGACCTGGAGGGTTTCACATACCTCTGAGCATGGGAGATTGCAAAAGCTGCAATCCTCCAGCCCTGGGGATTTCATGCACCCCCAGGGCATCCGTGCCCCTGAGATGCTGGGACCCAGAGTTGGCAGTTGCTGGGGATGAGAGTCTCCTCAGTTGCAGGACTCCCAGCCCCAGCTGGGAATACTCTGCTACACATGCAAATTAAAGCTCTGCAGCAAACAGCTCTAAAGTTAGCATGCATTTTCAAGGTCTAACTTTATAGCTGTTTGGAGCAAAATTTTGATGGTGTGATAGCTACTAGGGCCGTGTGAGTTTCGCTGCCTGTTTAGTTTCGACTCATTTCAAGCTTGAAACAGCTAAATTGAAATGAAATGAAGGTCTTTGGAACAGACTCAAAACAGACCCAATCGTAGGGCTGGGGAGGGGAACTGAGCGATGGGTCTCAGTTCCCTTCCCTCATCTGGCAGACTGGGGACCCACAACCCCCCAGCCCTCCCAGGGTTGCGGGCCCCCAACCTGCCAGCTGGATGAGAGAAGCCGTTTCAAACCTCCCCATTCTAGCCTATGGGCAAAACATCAAAACACCGTCACTGTTGTTTCGACAAAGTGAAAGGGAACAGCAGTTTTGAATCTCAACGAAATTTGAAACAAAACGCTGTTCCGTCTAAACCTTGAAACGCAAGTCGAAATGGAACGGTGCCATTTCGCACTGGTCTCAAGGTAATTGCACAATTAACCAGGTAATTGCAGAAAAGCTGTAACATGTAGAGGGGACTTTACTTGATTTCTTGCATTAAAAGTCCCCTGCAGAATCTGTCACCCGAATGGGTGAGGCCAGGAAAGGGGAGATGAGAGGCAACCTAAGTGAAACTGATCTATTTGCGTCCATTCCAAATAAAGTGCCCACCTATACAATGCCAGTAACAGTGGCAAATGAGAACTGTTAGGTGCACTGAAACCGAAAGCTTCTAAGGGATTAGCAAATACATCAGGATATACATTATTTTTCCCTTCTTTCTGCATATTTAGAGAAACAAACTTCATCCTTTTTAGTATGACAAATATCTATGGCCATAAATAATCCATAGAGTTTCTGCTGTACCACAAAGGAACATGCTAGTGACAGATTGGGGAAGCAACAGTAACTAGACACTCTTCCAACCCATCATAGTGAAAGAGTTCAGGGATTTAAGATCATTCATATTTCACTGGGTTCAGCTGTGCACTCTGCTAGACGTCACTGAGAGCAGATTGGTCTTTATGTGTATTGTCTAAAAAACCCAGCTGGAAGACCCCATGCAGATGTCTGCTACTGCTGTGATCACACAACTTTGACACAGCTTCTGTTCCTATTTCCTACATGTAGCTCAGCCCATGCATACACACTCCTATGCAGGAGCCACATAAGAAGGGAAGGACCGAGAGCTTGCTCAGATTTATCTGATGTACTACCATGCATTTTCCCCTTTAATAAAGTGAGGACTTCAAGCACAGTGGAAAAAGACAGGGGCAAGGCTGGAACAGTGGTTCATGTTTGGCTATGCTTTATAGGAAAGCTGATACCAGTAGAGGAGCTCTGGCTCATCAGAGAAACCTCCTCTCTTGACGTACTTGTATCCCATCACAATACAGTGCTCAGTAGGGCTGTGTGAAGCTTTGGGTGGCGATTTGATTCAGAGGAGAGTTGGCCCAATTCGGGGACCGAATCACAAAATCTGAATCGAATCAAGGGACCAATTTAAAGGTCTGAATCAATTCAAAGCTCTCTGAAACTTTGGCAAAGATTTGGAGCGCTTTGGTAATTCAGACAATCCCTGGTGGCTGCTGCGGGGAGCTGCAGCCACTCTGAGCTGGTAAGTACTAGGGGCAGGGCAGGGGAACATGGGGGGGCCCCTGCCAGGACCCC